TATATGATTCACCTTCCTTCTTTCTTCGTAGTTTTGCCTCTGCAACATAACTTTCCTTCATTGCCTTGTGTCCAAATCTATTATCCATTGCCTTGATTAGTTCCTCATAACTATTTCTCTGTTCATCTGATAATCCATAAGCGTATGTTTCGGCTTGTCCTCTCAAGGTGGTGAATAAAATTCGTCTTCTACGATCAAAATTCCAGTTATTGAGAACAGCAACATTTTCAAAATATCTGATGAATTCGGTCCATATTTCATTTCCATCTCCTCTGAAAGTACGCTTAACATTGACTTGATGTGTGGACTCCGGAAATGATGTTCCAATATTGCGCTCTTTGCCATTGCCACATTTTCCTGGTGTATTTTGATAGATATTCCATCTATTTTCTGATTTGATTGATCCCTTAGAAAATTTTGCAATCAAACTTATGATCAATAAACACAGCGTAACAATTCCAACGGAAACTAGTGCTAATTGTAACGGGAACCGTTACAGATGTTCCCCAAACGGCTCCCCAATCCCTTATGATGCCCCATTCCCTACAAGCTTCAATAAATTAGACAATACTTTTGTAATATAGATGGACACTTTATTTTTAAGGGTATTTCATTGGAAAACTACTCCGATATAGCCATATGGGTATTAGCCAATCAAATTTCAGCGCATGTGCTTGCACATGTTTTCTACATTTTTCACAATAATTTTCTTATAGTGTGTCACAATACATACATTTGTGTTAAATATTAAAGAATTTCATTGAAAAATAAGAGAGATGTAACCCTTTAAGTATTAGCCAATCAGAATTCAGCATACACGCATGCATGGCCTTGCATTCAATTTTGATAGTATCATAATGTAGGAGCTCTATGTGCCTATCCATGTCGTAAATTTCATCCTGTTTTGTTGAAAACCAAGGGAGTTATGGACATTCAAAGTTTCAACCAATCAGATTGCAGCACACCTGCATGTGCGTGTTTTCAAGAAATTTCCTATATAATATGTTGTAGCACCTTATAATATATACTTATATTCTAAATTTCAAAGTATTTTGTCAAAAAACAAGGAAATTATTGAGATTTTTGTATCAGCCAATCAGAGAAGAGCGCACGTGCATGCGCGTGAGTTCACGCTAATTTGACCATGTTATCTTGTCTAGACTACTAATATATCTTTATATTTTGAGTTTCAAAGCAATTCATCAAGAAATATAAAAGTTACGGCTTCATGAAGTATATCAGTCATTTCACTCATTGCACGCGCGCGCACGTGCATGCATGTGCGCGCAAAATGACCTTCGTTCCGAACACCTACACAACATGCCTATTAACCCTAAAAAGGTTTCTTGTCAATCGGATGAGTGGTTCTATGAGAACACTCCCGGACAAAAAAGTACCGGAGAAGAAAGTAGAAAAAAAGAATAATAATAATAATAATAACTAGATACTTATTGCCTCGGCAATAACAGGTCTTCCGTTTTCTTGACTTTTTTGAAAAAAAAAAAAAAACACAATCATCTCAATAAGATTACTCTAAATAATTCACAAAAGTTATCTCAAGGCTTCCAAAGATATGTAAATACAGATAAAAACAAACGGAATTACTTTTCTGTTTTCTTTATGTACTTTGTCATGAACGAAAGTGTCCAAACGAATAAAATGTTCATTCTACACCTAAATTATTCACAACTGATTATCCCTAAAAGTTTCCATGAAAAAACTACTCATGTTTGAGACAACTTCTGTTTTATTGGTTGGCACTTCCGATGAAAATAATTTGCATGGTCATGGTCTATCTAACATCTGCATTAGCCAAACATTTCTATAAAAAGAAAAGTAAAAAGAAAAAAAAACTCTAAAAATTCATTTTTCATCGCTTCCTGTCACGACAGGAAGTGACGACAACGTACGATTTTTACATGATGTAGTTAAACTGGTGACTGACTATCAGTTCTGAAAGTTTTAGGCTTCAGTCATGTAGTCATGTACTGTTTTTCAGCAATTAGGTGAACAAAATCCCAATTTGAGGACAGAAAAACACACGACCGGAAGTGCATTTTCCTAGGATGGTTGACTTTAAACTAGACAATTTAGTCTCAATAACATATGTAAAAATCATTCAAAAACTTTATCAATAAGTGATATTTTTTGGAAAGTTAAAAATCCCAATTACATAGTTTCTCTCTTATAACCAGTAGTTGTCGTTTTTTGTTTCCAGTGAGACCAACATATATAGAAACTGTGAAAGAGATTCAATTATATGATGTAAGTTTTATTTCAAGGGAGAAAAGTTTAAATTTTTGATTTCTTTGATCACTTCCTGTAACGACGGGAAGTGACGGCTGACGCTATTTACCCAAAAGGTTTTGCCTACTCATTAATATCTATTACTCATATAAGTTTGGTGTCTTAATCTCTTACCGTTTCTCAGATCTCACTTTGACAAGTTCTGAATTTGCGGACAGTAGAACACGCGACCGGAAGTGAATTTTACTAAGATCTTTGACGTTAACCTAGACATTTCCAGTCTAAATAACATATCTAAAAATCATTTCAAATGCTTCATCTATAAACGATATTTATGGGAAAGTAAAATACTCAAATTATGTAGTTTTTCGCTTATAACCGGAAATTGACGTTTCTGTTTCCGGTGGGACCAACATATTTCAAAACTGCAAAACAGATGCAATAAAGTGATGCAAGAGTTAATTAAAAAAAGAAAAGTTGAAATTTTCGATTTCTTTGATCACTTCCTGTGAGGACCGGAAGTGACGGCTGACGGATTTAAACATGTTCCACAAACGTACTTGTCATGATCTATAATCCCTGAAAGTTTGAGGTCTTAATCTTTTACCGTTTCTGAGAAAACGTCCGGACATGATCTCTTTTAAAAAACGGAAATCGGACATATCTGACAACCGGAAGTGAATTTTGCAAAATCCTTCAAAATGTTTTTAGTTTATTTTGTTTGTCATAATCCCTGAAAGTTTCAAGGTAATCCATTGAGCCATCTCTGAGAAATCGCTTGGACAAAAAATGGGAAAAAAATAATAATAATAATAATAATAATAAACAGTACAATCACTATAAGGTCTTCCGACTGAAACGGAAGACCTTAATAAGAAACAGAGTAAAAACAATATGTTCCCAAACTTCGTTTGGGGAACATAATAAGAAATTCCTTGGTCAGGCAAAGAAGCATGTATCCCGGAAAATAACGATATAATCCAAGAACAGAAACACATCCACAGAAAAACATTAAAATCCAAAATAATGTTAACATATTCCATTTTGAATGTGAAGAATTTTCTCCCTGAAGTCTCCTATTTTGCACAATTTCAGGTGAATTTTCGTCCACAAATGAATCCTCCAATCTTCGCCTGACATTAGAAATTCCCGAATTTGAAAATAGTCCCGGTGGTGTCCTTTGTTTCGGAGTTCTGTCACAATTTGTCATTTCCATGTCAATTAAGGAATATGAAGTTTCATCCATTTTTCATTCCAGAAATTTTCACAAAACACATCACAAAAATTCCATTTCAACGTTTTCTCTATTTAACATGTGCCTTAATCCTGCATTTACAACTTGGACATCTGTAATATTGACTTATGATTTTTCCATTGTCCGCACATATTTTATGATGGTTTTCCTTCTTCAAAAACATAACAAAACAATTTGGACACTCTTTCCGATTATCAACACGAATAAATCCAACGAAAATCAAATTTCCGGAATCACTATAATCCAACACATTTGCAAATTTAGGTCCGTTAAGATCCATTTTAGTTCACAATAAAGTCCACAAATTATCAACAAATTATCCCACCGCTGCCACCATTTGTAGCGTTTCCGAGTAAATCCTTTTCACATTCATATTTTGGTAGCTCTCAATCATAATTCCTCTTTGTAATAAAACACAAAATAACGGTAAAATGTTTATTAAATCCAAATGAAAATAAAATATAATCCAAATCAATGTCACAAAGTATAAATCCAAAAGAATTGAATGAAAGGCACTTAAAATAATTATTCCAATGTAACTCAAGTTAAATTCCCATTAATAAACTACTCTTTCAAATTACTCCCTCCTCATTATAAAATGAGCCTGCTTATATAGTTTATGACTCCTCTTACTCCTCCTAATGTCTCCCCTAAAGTAAACTAAGGTCAAGCTATAAAATCTAAACACTATAAATCACTACCATTGTATAAAACCTCCTCCTAACCTAATTAACAGCTCCCCATGAGCTGTTCGCAGTCTGGGTCAAGACATTGATAAACAATCTAGTCTAAGAATAAAAGTAAAATAATAAAAACATACTAATCTATTGAATAAGAAAAGTAAATATAAAAAAATAATAAAGATAAAAAAATAATTATGCTACATTAATTTCCTTCTTTATCATTCCCAGAAAAAAAAATCCTTTTGTTCATTAGGAAAAAGACAGTTTTCTACATTTAATACAGTGTATACATTTCTTACAAAATAATAGCAAATGTTAAGTTGGGTACAACAGTTCCTGATTCATATTTTCAGTTAATGGAATACGTCATTGATTTAGGAAGGGATATCAGTTATATGTATAAACAGATAATGCCAAGTCAATACATGCTTAAAATTAACATTGATTGTAAAGAGCAATATACAAGTACATTTTACAGTTTCCAGCACTCCTGAATTTGAAGAATATTCATATTTTCTGTTGTACAAACGAACATGTGACCCATAATTAAAAAAAATCTGGAATTTTTTTTTCCAAGTTTAATTCCTTTTTTAACCTTTTGGTTATGAAGAAATAGACGTGTAATACAGTATATAGGAAAATAAATCATAAGGGTAGCATATGTACAAATGTAAAGTAATTAAAATACAATACGTAACCCCCCCCCCCCCAAAAAAAAAAAAAGAAAAAAAAAAACGAAAAAAAAGAAAGGAAATGTACAATAACATATTTTCAAGAACACTACAAAGCAATAAAACTTGGCATTATTATTTGAATTTAAAACTGCTTTGTTAGTTATAAAAAATCTTTTTAAACAATACATATTCCTAAAAAAAAATTAGTATACGTTTTCAGTAAAATAATATGTTTCATATCTCATAATTCACTCATTGACATTTGAAGAAAGAAAACCTGTTTTTCTTTTGTTACTATTGTAATATGTGTTTCTTTTCAGCTGCACATTCAAAGTAAGCATCTATTGATAAATATATGAATGTATTAAAAGGTTAAACAAAGATCTTATTAAAGTCAGTACTGGATATAAGTGCTATTTGTTTGAAGAAGGTATAGTAAGAAATTAAACATTGCAGATAGTATCCTCTTTATCTGACTGTACAATCATTTCCATCTCTGGTTCTGGATAGATTTTGACATCTTCCTCCTCTGATGGATATTTTCGTCGACAGAAATGATCTGTGATAGCAGCGCAGACAAAATGACTCTCAACATTTGCTCCTGTTCTGAGGCGGTCGCTTTGGAAACAAAAATAGTCTTGAAGCAATATTGCTAGCTACATGTACATAAACTTCATCATGATACCTCTATCAAAATGCAAGTTGCAACTATATTATTACTACTAATAATTAAAATTACCGTTGCATTTATTCAAATTGCTACTTATTCGACCGATAACTTTCTGGCCAAAAGAAGTGTTTGGTTAATATAAAACACGTTATGAAGTCAGGCTAAAAAATACTGTTGAAATATAATGATTGTGTCCTTATATTACAGTTACTCACAGAAACCATTCAACAGCAAACAACATAGGAACCTCGTGGACTGGAATATTAATGGCGGAGAGTACCATAACTACAACCACAATACTAGCACTCGGCATTGCTGGTAAGGAAAGTGTTGAAAAAGCCGTCAAAATTCTACAATGATATTTTATCAAATGAGAAAAAGGAACAATTAACAGTGTGAATATATCGTTCCTTAAACAGCAAAATAAAATCATCCGAGCCACATTTAATTTTTCAATACACTCATTGTTCTAACCTATGTAGCAAGATGGAGCTAAGAATGCATATTAATTAGGTCACCAGTTATCATGAAACACGTACCCTATGATTATGACATTACCAAATGTCAGAGTATACCCCGAAAACTTTGCAATAAACATAGAAGCAGCAGAAATAAAGAGAGCACTCCCATCTCCATTTGATGTACAACAGAGAGGTATGACGAAACGCGTAATCCGTTTGTCCATTTTATTAACACTTTCACATGCATGCAATAAATCAGGCATGGTTAGAGCTCTGAAAAATAAATATTTTAAATTTTAATCAGACGTTTGTTGTCTGAATTTCATATTATAAAAACATTTATTACCTAAAATTTAAAGATGGCCATTTTCCCCCAAATTTTAACACGAAAAAAAGTGACATCTTTGTTCATTCCAATGAATGAATTATTTTCAAAAATTATTTAAGCATACTTTATAAACCAAACTATCCTGGAATACATTACTTAATACATTAAAATCAAAATATATGGAAAACAAATTGAATATTGAATATGTCAAAGAGCATGATAGAAACACGCCAAATTTGTATTTAAATGAATACTTACGATGACCCAAAAGAGAATCCTATCAGCCAAGCTCGCTTTATACTAAGGATATGTTTGTAGGGATTTTTTCGTGTGAAAGCAAAATATAAGAGTGGAAGAAGAATGGCTTGGTTAAAAACGATACCCAAGGTTACTGTCAAAACAAAGTATCCCAGGCTAACAAACGTCTCCGTAACGTCACGGGTACCTGCTATGGAGGCAGCTGTAAGACTGGCCACGCCTACTGGGGTCAGCCTTCAAATAAACAAAAAACTTTCATTACTTTGAGAAACCATTAAACATTTTATAAACATAGTTTACTTTAATCTATATATGTATCCAGATGGAGATCAAAAAGTTCTTAAAATTTGAATTTTGATTATCAATACTTCTTTGGATTTTTTTTAAAAGTGGAAACTTTGCAAACACATATAAACCCTCTCTCGATGAGTTAATTTAGGTGCATCAAAACAAACATTTGTAAGAAATATTGTGAAAGCTTAAAGTTGCATAATGAGTCAAAACCATGTGTTATTTCTAAGAAAATGGTATCACAAAGCAAAGATTTCTGTGAAATATGAATATAGCGAAGTTTTGACAACTCAACTGCATTGTAAAGCAAGAAAAAAAAAATGCAAAATATAAGTGCCGGAAAAACAAATGTTGTATCTATCGCTTTGCTTTTTATCGCAAATATCAACAATGTCAAGGTCACGCGTCCTTTATTTTTAGCGTGAAACTTGTAAACAACATTTAATTGGGGCAAGCAGAAGTAATGAATAAGTTATGATCATCTTTTTTGAAGATTGTATCAAAATTCTCAGTCGTCCGACATTTATATGTATGGAATTGAAACCATGGTAAATTCCTCAACTTTTCAACGCATGCGTACAACAAAGAGGAAAAAGTGTAGCAATATTTTTGTGATGGGTAATACAAAGATAATTTTTACTTTTATTTTTTTCCATTAAATTAGATTTTTTAGGTTCTGAAACCTGTAATTTTCTGAAACCTAATATCTTCAAGAACTGAACAAAATTTGCATGTGTCATGCAAAAATTCTACTGTCGTCAATTTTCCTGTTTGTCCGTCACAGTGTCAGTTTAAGGTATATGTATGTCACTCGTGAAATTAGTTGTATAAAGATTTTTTGGAGAAGTATTTTTTTTTACATAAGTACTTGTGTAGTATGACTCAAAATCGCAAAGAAAATGGGTGGTCAGTGTACATCTTACTGAGCTACGGTACGATTAAGTTGACCTTTTTTGACTTAAATTGTGACTCTTTGGTTTATCACTTTAATAATCATCATTTTTTTTTTTACCAGATGTAATTATGGCAATAAATATCATCTTATTTTACGTGAAATAGTTTGAATGAAAAACAAATCATGCAAATTGATGCGCATAAATTATTGTGTGACCTTTTTGCACTAAAAAGTATCATATTGGGATATAAACAATCTAAATAGCAATATAATAGAAATATAATACTTTCTTGTATCAAACTTTTTATGACTTAAGTGTTGCTCGGTTGTAGGGGTGAAACGATACACCTCCTTCACGGTTCGATACGTATTGTATAATTTTGTCTCGGTACGGTTATTCTCGATACAATACATTTTGATAGAAGGAACAAATTCAACCTTGTTTTATGCTTTTTTTTTACTAAATCTAGTCACTTAATTTATGAATTTTTATTTGCAAATTGACCAGAAGAAATTGATTAGATTTTTTTGACTGTCAAGAATTATTTTACAAACTATCAGTTATCAAAAATTTACGTTTTCTATACTTATTTATACTGAGTAACGTGTTTTACCTTATGCCAAACCCGACTGAATAACGATCCCGACTGAAAAATGAACCGAACCGAAAATTAGAGATTTTGCACCGTGTATCAAACCGAGAAAAAATACCACGGTGAATCGATACCGCGGTGAACCGTTTCACTTCTACTCGGTTGGAAGTATCGTGTTGTTTAAAATAATTAAAGAAAAGTTGGGGTCAGTGATGTAAAGTTTGAGATAAAGATCAAAGTGCGCAATTTTCAGGCAAAAAACGGTGTAAATTTTATCTTGACTTCTTTAATATATCTTCATTTCTTGGCAAGGTCTGTTGAATGAATGCGTAAAATTTGTTCTAGAAATAAAATCTCAGACCTGTATTTAATATTCCTAGCATATCTTAACGGAAAATATTCTCTAAGTAAAAATATTCGGGACTTAAGTTCCAAAATATTAAATTTAACAACTGATTTTGTAGATTTGAAAAAAAAAAAATCTAAATATCCTTTCACAGCAAGAAATAGTCCCTCATAAATCTTTCTTTTTGTGAATTAGTGATCAGTTTTTTAATTGAATGTTGAATAATTTGCATTGTTTGATTAAAATCTGTTATAAAAATCGAATTGTATTAAATAGTTTTGAAATTGAAGGTTCTGTCCTGAACTTTTCTAATAAGCTGACGAGTGACAAACCTTTAGGTACATGTATGTTACTCGTGACATGAGTTACATCAAGGATGTTTTGAGAAGTATATTTCATGTAATTACTAATAGCATGCCTCAAAATTGCAAAGAAAAATGGGGGTCAGTGTTTATCTGATTGAACAACGGTACAATAAGATTGACGTTTTTGCATTTAAATTATAACTTTTAGGTTAATTACTTTACATGTAACTTCTATCATATTTTATCAAATATTTTATGGCAGTAACTATAATTTTATTTTATGTAAAATAGTTTGAATATTTATTATTGAAAAGCAAATCCTGCAAAATAATGCGTGTAAAGTATTTTGTTACTTTTTTGAACTAAATAAATATCAAATTTGGGGTATTAAAAGTTTAGTTAATCAATAAAATATTTCTTTGTATCAAGCTTTTAATGACTATAGTGCTGATCATAAATGATATAATAAATCGTGTTATTTAAAATATTGAAAGAAAAAGTCAGCGATATAAATTGGGATTTTCAGGCGAAAAACAATATAAATTTTATCTTTATTTCCTACGTATATCTTCATTAATGGCAAAGTCTGTTGAGTGAATGTGAAAAATTTGTTTTAAAAATATCAACTTGAACATATATTTAATATTCATAGCATTTAAATTTAAAAAAAAAAAATATCCGAGTAAAAATGTGTACGGCGAAAGTTTTAAGATATTAAATAAAAAAGTAGAAATTTGAAGAAATATCCTTCCCCCACAAGGAATAGTCCCCAATAAATCTTGTTTCTTAACAATTTTTTGAGCAGCTTTTAAATTGAATATTGTATTTGTTGCATTGTTTACATCAAATATGTCATAAAAATTGAATTGGAATAAATAATTTAGAAGTTAGAAGTTCTGACAATTTTTTCTCAAAAGCTGACGAGTGACATACCTTAAGGAAGGCAAAACAGAATATCGACATCGATTTCTCTACTTGATTTTGTAGTGAAATTCCTTTGATCGAGTTAATAATTATATAATCAGGGTTAAATTTAGTCTTAGCGATCAGAAGTTATCTCCTATGTCCAGGCATTGTTTCAAACGTTTAGAAGAACAAGATCTGACTCAGCAGATCTTGATAAAGTATATAAGCGGGCTCATTCAAGTCTCGGTGTTCATTTATTGAGAAGCCGTAGAAGAAGGAGGACGTGTTACGGACAAGGTAAGGTATTTGTGTTAGCTCATTTGCGGTGTATCAAACTGCTGCATACGGACCATTTGAGCTACATGAATCCTTACAGGTTACTAAATCAGGGTAAATTACTATATTATAAACGGGTGTTTGAATCCCGGTGTTCGAAACTATAGGTCTGGGAGCTAGTGCTCAAACATAGTGTCAGACCAGGGGATTAGTACGTAGACTAGGAGATAACAAGTTAAGGAAAATTATAGCAAAATAGAGAATCAGTTTAAATCATAGTATTGTTGATTATTATTGATTGTGTTTGTTATTATATTGAATCCAATCAGCTGAATACGTCAAGTAACGTAAAGGAAAATTCTTTATCTATACTTCATCCGTGGTCGAACCCACAAAATACATTACAATTTCTTCCTCATATTGTACATTTTCCTTCAATTAACACGTGTTCTCGCTTTAACCATTTTAAAATCATTGGAACTATCTTGAGAACAAATAGATGAGAAATTAGAAATGACAATAAATCACTTTTATCATATCGGACCATCACGTTAGCTCAGTCGGTAGGGTGCTCCCCCCGTGATTGGAAGGTCGTGGCTTCAAACCAAGCCCGCGACTAACCTAAGGTGATGAAAAAATGTAGCACATTTTCCTTTGCTAAAAGCTTGGCACATTGAAGTGAAAGAGAAGGGTATTTTTAATGAGACCGAGGCCCCGTTTCACGACATGCGTTGGCCCAATAAAGAACCTTCACTGCTCTTTGGACCTCAGTGCCAAGCACAGGTCAAAATTCGAAGCCTTTCGCCGCTTTATGTTGACGTCTCTGTATGAGTGAAAAGTTCTCGAACGGGGACGTAAGACAACACACAATCAATCAATCATTTTTTTTTATATAGGTCGACTAAATTGTTATGAAATATTATCTTTCTCCTTAATTGATATTAAAGAATGTGTTTATTTTATGTAATAATTGTAACTTGTTGTTTTAGAACGAAATTCTATAAATAAATCGTTGATTAGCATGTTGCATGTCACGTCAAACACCTTTCGGGTAAATATCGTTGTTTATTAACTGGTGACATTGACATGCCAATAGCATAGGAAACACGAAGAAAATTACCAAATAAACCATCGAAGAATTTGCAGAACAATTTCAGCACTCATTGCGAAGAAGTCAATGAATACTCTGGCTTTTTCTTTCAATCTTCCAGCAGCAATGCCTATGAACATACAGGCCAATATCAGTCCTACAGAAAAAGTCAAAGATGAATGTTAAACGAGGAAGCTAAGAAAATTCTTATAAACCCTTTCTTTACAAGAATTTCGTTAAAACTATCCACGCTATCTTTATATTAATCATTTTTTCGGAAACAATAAAACATGTTTAGAGAGATTACATTTTACTCTATAATATTACCAAGTATATTTGGTCCACCTGATTTCCCAACAGTCTTGACCATTTCCAAATAATTTTGTTCTACATCTGCAGTGGTATTAGAAAAATTACCAAGATTCTGAAGTTCGTTCCAAACAATTTCAGACTTGAATTTTGTTTGTGTTTTGCGAAAAGTTGCCTCTACTAGGTTATCTGGTATGATATTTCTGTAAAATTGATTTGAAAATTAACAGTTGTGTAATACGTGCATCATACATGTAATTAGCTTACGTTCAAGAGAAAAACGTACATTTTAGGGATTTGATGTGGAGATTTGAAAATGGAGTGCATCTGACGAGAAATATTAGTTATAAATTTCTTTGAGAAAAGGGGTCTCTATACTGGATATAATTAAAACAGTGCTTGTATACAATCAAGTTTGAAATCAACGTACTTTTTCGATTTTTTTATGATCATTACTCTCCATTATGCGGGTGCTATTTGTCATGTTCGAGATAACTTGGATGCTGATTTAAATTATTTAACTGATATATTTAAATGTTATCTAAGAACTTGTATTTATGAGATGTATTTATACGAAAGTTATTAAAAATGTTGACTTTCTGAATAAAGGTCATATCATTACCTAATTTGGTAGCTATTTCTAGAACAAAAATGAAGCATGCATGAGTTTAAATAGCACAGGAATTTACAATATTGAAAGAAAATTGATTATCAGTGAAAATCTTCTCAAAGCGGTTGAGGAAATTAATGAAAATTGAACGCTTCATTGCAAAAGCAAAAACTCGCGGTTGAGGTGTATATACAAATAACGCTAACAAATTAAGATTTGATTACCGTATAATTGTCAGTAAACTAAGATTCAAGTTTAATATAAACTTCGTAATAAATTTGGAATTTACGAGAGACTGACTAGGAAATATTTTGGTGAATGTTTTCGAGAACGTTCAAGTCGTTTTGTTTTTGTTTTACGTTGTTAAGAGTGCTCCTTGGGGACAAAAAAAATGATTTTAGAATAAAGTAACATAAGTTTCATATCATAAATTAGAATGAAACTGTTTACATAAAGTTATTGATTTTAATTGCTAAAATGTGCCGATCTAAAATTTCTGAAAAATAAGACACAGAGGACCATTTTCTATGAATGGCTTTTAAAATGACCCTCGTACATGATCCTGTTTATATTTCATGATTGATTTTCCAGTCCAGCAATACCTTAAGAAATCTGCAAATATATCTTGTTGCTGAATTTTATTGACCATTACTTTCTCATCATGTGCAACATTTACTCGTCCTACAAATGAAAGCATTGTCTTCAAGTTTAAGAACTATATATGAAAAAATTCAACATTGGTCCCAATAAATCAATATTTTTAAATGTGATTCAGTATTAAATTGGATAGTTTTTTTATGTAGAAGTGATATTGGTGATATGTACAATACATCTGTCTCATTTATATGCAACCATTGGCTGTAATTGACGTCAGAAATGATACTTTGCTTTTGAAATTCAATAAAAATAACACAACATTTTGCTTTTTTCTTGATATTTCTTCATGTGGAATACACAGAACGCAGCTTTTGAACTAGCAAACTTTTTTTGTCTGTAATTAGTAATGGATAGATACTTTTTTTTGTAAAAAAAAAAAAAAAATTAAAGTAGTTCATTTCATCAAATTTTTTTCTGGAAGAAAATCTGATTGAAAATAAGCAATTTTATTCAAAATACGCTTAAATGGCAGGAAAAATGGAAATGCATGATGTCATATTTGTAAACCAATGACATTTTGAACAAATTGAAAATCATGAATAAACGTCACATGTATAGCTGTACAAAGTAAATCTATACAAAAAGTAAAATAAAGATACTCATTTCAAGGGGCGTTTGAGACACCTATCATAGATAGTTCTTTGAAAATCAAATACATGTATGTACATAACATATGCATATATTTCTACAAAGGCAACAGCATCCCCTATGACAGATATTTACAAATATTTAGATTCCCCCTTTTATCGTACTTATGGTTCCTTATACATATACATGTAACATCAGCGAAATCAAATGATTTACATTATAGAGACAACAAATGTTTGTTTTGTGATGGTCTAGATAATTTAAATCTGACAAGAATCTTAAAGTAAGTTTAATGACATGTTTATAACAGAATAATTGGCTTTAAAAGGAGTTATATAGGTGTATTTAAATCACTGGAAGTCAGACACATGTTTGAAAGGCTTTCGAGAATTTTGTGTTTTTCTAAGTTCATATAAAAACCCAAAATAAGTTTCCTCTAAAGATATTATTCTACTTTTTCATCAAATTATGGATATTGACTGACACAGTTGATGCGAAACGTGCTTGCACGAATTCATTGCAGAATTATACACGTCATTTGTGTCAAAGGAATGAGTGAGTAATGAAACATGACGTGAATTAAATGAATGGCATGAATGGCGCTAATGAACACAAAATAGACGTTGGATGAAAAGGAATAGGAAACATAAATGTAGAAACTTTATTTGGAAATTGCTTTAAAGTATATGCAGAGTGAGTAAAAAGACACTCGGTTTAGTTGATAATTTATTGAAGCTTTAGATTATTCTATAATTTTTGTTGCTATGTATGACTAAATGTTCTCTGCTCTTTATTTCATAGGAAAATACATGTTGTTAGATATATGACCACAAAGACCTCCTGAGTTTCATAATCTATATATAAAACCTTAGATTGCTAACTTTCATTTTAAATTCAATCATTTAAGATAATTTCCTGCAAAAAAAAAAAAAAAAAAAAAAAAAAGGAAATTGAACACATGAAAAGAAATGTAAATCAATGTAAAACGGTGGAATCATTAGCTTTCTTGTTGGTTCAATTTTTTGTGAAATTCTTGGTTACAAGTATGCAAGAATTAATATCCTTCACAAACTAATAAATTAGATTTACAGAGCCATCTCTAATTTTGTAGTAATGAGTGTATATACAGATACGAGATGTCATCCCCGGGCACGTGTAAAATTGAAGTAATCCACAAAGTTGGTTTCAAGAAAATCCACAGTAGTTTATGAAGCATTGTTAATGAAAACTACGCGATCCTATATAAGTAATTTGATATTGATTTCGCCCCACACTGAATATACAAGGTATATTAAATTTGATATCCTTTATTCCATAAAACTTGCAAATAAATGCCAAAACATTTTTAAGTTGGCATGAAATATCATACGTTTCTGAATTAAATGATGAATATATCGAACTATAATTGAAAACATATTTTTTGTTATTACCTGGATTAATGGTATAAATAAGTATGATGGCAATCACACAACCCAGCATGTTCGTAAGCAATATGTATGTGATGGATATCAGGCCTATTCTGCCGTTTGATTTCGGTTCTAAAGAAGCTGTGCCTAGAAGAAAAAGAAAACTGTTATTACAATGATTCTATAGGTACAAACACTCTAATCAACTGATAGAAGTTGTCTACATACCATTGCATTTACTGAACTCACAAAAAATTGTTACTCTGATCCATTTTAAAGAAATGTCCAATTTTCAAAATTATTAATTCATTATAACAGGTATATGTAATATCAAGCTATTTCGAGTTGAATAATATTTAGTAATTTTTTTATGTGTAAGACCGTATTAAAAAAATCCATGATTTATAAGAAGGTTTGGTTCAAGAAACCTAATTAATTGTTGAAGTACAGCTGAACATACATCACTTACTGTGTATGACACTGGTAACAACTAGAGGAACGATCATCATTTTCAGCGACCGCATGAAAAGATCTCCTGGCATACCTTTGAAATATACGGATTTATCTTAATCAGCTTTTCTTGCTTAATTCAACCAACAGTTACATGTAATTACATAATTCTACATTCTCGAAATACATAGGGATTGGATAAAACTTTCTGTAAATTTACCCCCCCCCCCCCTTGCACTATGCTTGGAATCTAATATAAATATTTCTTTTCACTCCTAATTCCCAGAAGTATATGAGAAAGAGTAAACTGCATTTGTAGGAATTTCTTAATTATTCTGTTCCGTTGATATATTTATTCAGAGGAAAGATTGTGGGTTTTTAACTTCTTCTCAAGAAATCAAGACAAAAAGAGTGATAAATTTCATTTTTTGTTGTTGTTGTAATTGCTTTTTGGTTTTGTTTGTTTTTTTTTTAAAAAAAAAAAAAAAAAAAAAAAAAAAAAAAAAAAAAAAAAAAAAAAACATACCGATCCAATGTAAAGCGTCTATAGAAGGTCCAGCTTCACGAATTCCAAAGCCGATAATAAATCCAAGAATGACTGCCAGAAAAGTCAATACAAATAGCAGTTGTCCACGTAAGATTCGTTGAATGTTTCGAATACAGGACTTGTTTTCGTTGTCTTCGACTTTCAATTGCTTTTTCATTATGTCCATATATTTAAAACATTAATGCTGCAAATATTTTTCAAATATTAGAATATGTAATTGGGGGAATACACTGTTATATTTCATATTTTAACAACATCCTTAGAAAATATACACTAGTGAGAAATATAACAATACTTTATAAGAATATCTAATCTTATAATGCAATGTGAATTCTTAATTAATATTACTTTTTTACAATATATATACGCAAGTCTCAATTTTGAATAGTTTTAGCTATACATGTCTTTTTCTTGATTGTTAAAATGTAAAGATTTTGACCAGATTTTAGTAATTTTGAATGAAATAAAATTTTGAATAAAAACAGTAATCCCCGTAATAACAAAGAAAGTATCTTTTAAAGAAAGTACTTTTTAAATGAACTTTGAAGATAATAAAAATAGTAATCATACTCAAAAATCCTATCAAAGAATTACAAATTGGGAGTAGCTAAAGCAAACGCGGACCTCTGCAAAGAGAGGTGGGATCAAGCATGAAGTAGTGAGCATCTAATGTTGACCAGCCACCCCCGGTGTGCTTTTCTTGTCATGATCGGTTGAACGGAAAAATTTGTAGACATTTCAGTGTGTAAATAATGGCATAAAAATTTGTGCGTAAAACATCAATCAACATTCAACGTAACGATAGATTGTATTTGCAAACAAGGTCATAGTAGCGACCAAAATGTTTGCAAATTTTTTACTTTAAACAGATTTATTAAAGTATTTGCATCATGATTTGTTAGTAGTCTGTCTGCAGAAACTGATTGTATGTGGAACATGTTCTAGCGTATCGAATCAACTTGGAGACGTACACCTAATACGCAGGTGATCATGGTATATTGTACATACATGTAAATAGAGGAAATTTGACGGTTGAAAGTTGAAGTAATCATGTGAATCCTGTAAGTTAGTTGTTGGTATGCACTTTTTCTTGTGAAACATCTAACTGTTCAAAAGACTTATCAGATACTCTGTTGTCCTTAAATTCGTGTTCAATTTGATACATCGAAACAACGTATGAAGAAAAATTAATGTTGTTAATACAAAAAGTCGACGATATAAGTAAATGTCGAATAGAAGTTAATGAACAACTTTAATAACAGAAAGGGTTAATTTCATCTGAACAAATATCGTTTCCTAGCCATTTTAACTTCAGACAATAACATGAAATCTTTTAAGTTGTTCTCAAAATATACAATCTACTTTATCTAAATATAAAATAACTTACATTGCGTTGATCATTTATTGAACATTTGTCTGAACAGGGAAAAAAATAATGACTGGTTTACCTATTGCCTTGCATTGTAGTAAAATTTTATTCGTAATTTTTTTTCTCAGTTTGATCAAAGGATAAAACCACCAGACATGTGTTTCATACAGCATTGATCAATATACTTGTAGCATATGGCAGTTTAATTATGCTGATAATGCACGAATTCACAATTTTATACCGTTTGAAGCAGAACTATTCTAAATTGATGTTATCAGAAAAATGATAATGTACAATGATACAAATTAAGGCAATTATCTTAATTTGTTTCTTTTTGTCGGTGTTGGTCTCAGTACAGCAAAACCATTTATTATACATAGAAACATAATATCTGGTGAAGGCAATTATTTGATACCTCCATCACAATTCTCTATATATTGAAGTTATTTTATTATAATTCTACTTTAAGTATTACTCTCACTGAAGAAAATTTTAAACGTAGAGTCAAGAGTTCAAATTTCTCTCAGGACCATGATGCTTCATAATTTGATACAATCCCTTATAAACAATACATGTATATTTAATCAACTTTCTCATGAAGATATATCTACATCTTTACGTGATAAAATGAAATAAAAAAAAGAAACTTGGCATAATTATTGTAATGTCTTGAAAATGAAATGCTTCTAATTTTAATCACATTAAACATATCAGTACTAAGAATACACACTGCTTTATCATTGAGTGTAGGGAAGAACTTATCGAGGTTTAAGAGCTAGGATTACAAGCAAACCCTTTCATGAAGCAAGGTCGGCAAAACGATGAAAGAGTGTACAATGAAGCTAAATTATTTTCTTCCTTGGGGAATAATTTACATTTTTTTTTTTGCAGCCGTTTGGCCGAAAACATGTTTGGTTCAAAGGTTTTTTAAAACGCATGATCGATGTCAAACAATAATAGACGAAGAAAACGCCAACCAATCCAATAACATGCTATTTCTTCCAGAAAAAATCTTTAGATTTAGAAATTGTTTGTAAAACTGATTCTTATCTCATCAATCATTTATTCGAAAAAAAAAAGAAGATATAATCTAAATAAATATTACACATACATGTATGGACTGATAAGCAAAAAGTGTTACCTGCTAATGTTGAATGCTTCGTGAAAAAAATGTCGTTGACGCCTTTTTTTCAAAATATTATTTTAAGAAATGTATTTTTGGAGGGAACATCTGTTTCTCACCACATTGCACCTCTATTAGTGTTTCAAGTACTAAAATTATGAAAAGGTTATGTGCATCGATGTATGTCTGTGCGAAAATAGCTTGTGATGCCCCATAAGGATATTAAAATTGAACTACATATGAAAGAAAATACGACAAATAAACATCATTTGAACAGTTATTGCATTCTTATTTCGTTGTTTAAATGTTTATGAAGTGTAATTCTTAGCGGGCCAGATAATTATTTCTCAAAAAAGCTCAATCATACTTTTTCTTGGTTCCTTTTACCCGATTTTCTTCACTATATCATGTAATAATACCTGATTTAAGTGATTATAAATAACTGTAATAACAAGTTTATAGCTGTAAATTTCTTTATTTATGAAGGAAATTATAATGGTCATTCTTTGTTAATATGGAATTCATTGTCTTTTCCACATGAACAAGTATTTGTTTCTTTCTACGAAGGAGATACTTTACTTTACCGTAATTTGTTGTTTTCGAAAAGAAAATCTTTACAAATAACACACCCAGCTTAATCAAGCCGTAGGGAGTTCTAAGTTGTAATATTTATAAGTTAGAACAAGTGTTACAACATCCTGTCAATGTATCTCCTATTTCGAATCCATGTTAATTATGCTTGAAAAAAATCATTAAAAAATATAAATATTTATATATTGCAAAATTTTGTATTTGTGTACACCCCAAATTTTTCGTAACTCCGATAAAAGTGATTATTTGATATGCATTACACACAAGCCTTTAGCATTAAAGGTTTTTTTTTTTTAATTCATATTATTTCGATTTCTTTGGTCATCAGATATTAATAAGGACGGAAAACGCTCATTAGCCTTTCCCAAAGCATACAACATAGTTTATTGTGTCTATTGATATGATACCCTGAAATCACTAAGAGACTCTCATAGTACTGTATCTATTATAGGGAAGATTGTTCATGTTCTATGGAATTCTCAAAATAATGTCAAAATTCAGATGCATTTTTGTAATAATGATTTTTTCTTTGTGTCTTTGGACATAACGGAAGATGCAATGGGCAAGGGACTTTTAAAAGTTACATTAATTTTATTGTTAAAGTTTATGTTTTACCGGGTCTGTTCAGTTTGTTTACTCTGCACACATCATTGAGAACGGACTGACAATACTGGTGAATTGATTTTGCTTTCTCACATTTCTACTCAGAATTTTCTTGATTATAATCTTTATTAATATTTTTCATTAAAACAAAACAAAATATTTACTTTTCTAAAGTACAAAGTTTACTTTTCGAAAGTGCCAGGATATTTGTCAATCAAACGCATCAAAATTCATAGTTTTAATAAGTTGCACATAAAGCAAGTTTCTAAACAGGCTTTTATTATTTTCTGGTGGGAAATGCTCTAGCAACATATAAGTCATGATATTATTCAGAAAAGTTAAAAAAAAAATATCTGTGTCCAAGACCTTTTATGTAATGTATAGAGAGGATAATGTATCGTCTATAAGGTCAAGAAAAAGAAATTTTTACTTAAACGGAATTACGTGGAGAAAATACTAAAGTTATTAAACATCTCTTAAGAAACCTCTCTACACTGCACGCTGAAGAGTCCTCCAGTTTAAAATTGTTTTTTTAGGGAATAGAGTAACGTGCTCATTGAGAGTATTCTGGAAAAAAAATTATCTGCTCATATTGTTTATTTTAGAAATTCAGTTATGGCCCTTTACGATCTCTAGTACCTAAAGATATTAAAAAAAAAATGCATCGTTTCTATCGAAGCTTGAAGATTGAAAATTGCGGGAAATGTATAAAGAAGATTAAAAAGGGCCGATATAAACGTACTATTAACCGGACAGCAACGGTGACACAGGCAGAAGAGGTTAAAGTGCCTATACTTTATTGAAGGTATGATTAAAAAATATAAATTATCCCGAATCGCTAAAAGATACATGCATCAGAGTAGCAGCAGCAGTGGCCCAGAAGATTATTGGGAAAAGTTATGAAACAGAGGTGGGATATATTATGTGTAAATGCTAAAACATAACTTTTTGTGCATGATACCATATGAAAATTGTGTGTAACATTATAAAATTGAGTGTATCTGTATTTCCTGGTAATTGGGGAGCTGAGTCTTTCACCTGGTTCCCAAACGCAGAAGGTATTAGAAAGAATGGATAGGATTATTGACGAATAAACTAGCTTTCAAAAGCCGGAACAGAGTGTTTTAATTTGAAATAATTTGTAATTGACATACTGTATAACTTTGTCAAATTGAAATGAGGTTCAACAAAGTTTGTATAATACTCTTACTAGTACTAATTGTGCAGTGCATTTCGAAAGATAGACGAAGCGTTTTTTGTGATGGGTAAGTAAAATGTTTCAGTATATGTTCTATTATAAATACGTGCTTATTTAGATCTGTATAAAACTTAAATACATTTTTTTTTGTTTGCATTTTGAAATTAACAAAGTTATCAATCGGGTCAGAGTTCTCCTTGTCAAATTAAATAGAGGTTGGCATACTCTCTAAATTTCCTGGCATTATTATTATAATTTATTATTATTTATTTTTCATTTTATTTTTTTTTATTT